TTGGCACGTTATTTACATTTTTTTGGGTCATTTTTGATCAAGTTCTAGCTGGCTGTAAGCTTCCCATTTGTAAACTTTAGTAAAAGATTCAATCTCCACCATTTTTCAAGGACCCCTGCCAGCTTCTGGGCTCCTTGGGGTTTTAGAAGAGCTTCATGGCTGACACAGCCCAGGACATGGAAAAAGGCTTCCTGGTTTTCAGCGCTCAGGCTGGCTGGGGGTGTGAAGAGGGACAGTCGACACCTGCTGGTGCCTCTCCCCTCCACCCTGCCTTCCACCCTCCCACCACCAGACTCCGCCCCTGGATGGCTGCTGTCGCCTATCGCCAAGGCAACCACCCACCCTGAAGCTCTGCCATCTCCAGAGCAAGAAAAGAGAAACTGGAAATCTCTAATATATGGGAAAATCTCCCCAGTGTTTGAGGTTGGTAACAAATTCAACTTTTTACATGCACTGCAGTCATTGGCTTGCGCCGGGGGCTGAGTTCAGAATCCAGCACTCAGATCACAACCGCCCAGCCATCCTTTCTATGAGGACAAAGTAATCAATTCCATGGTCTCTCTCTCCTTTTTTTTTTTTTTTTTTTTTTTTTTTTTTTTTGCCACTGAATCAACACAGCATAAACAACAGCACTATTAATTTTCAGGAACTCATCCCGTCACAAAAGGCAGAGTGGACCTAGTTGTGTATGTTCGAGGAGCCCGAGGCCGCTGGCATCATTATCTCTAAAACGGGAATAATAAAGTCCTTGCCTTACAGATGTTACAAGGTTGCCTTGAGGGTCAAACGCGGTAAGAGGTGCTTAAGAGTTCTCAGGACGTAAACGCACCGCACGAAATTTGGACGGTACCCGGTGGAAGAAAAGAGGGCATGAGGATGGCTGGTGGATGCTTTCCTGTCCTGGCTGCAGACCTCGTCACTGGCTAGAGCCACGCTTATTTTCTTCATGTTTAAAATCACCGCTTGTCACAGCGAGCGCCGCTAGCCCACGTAGCCGGGCAGGAAAAGGACAGTCCCCTTCCACGTCAGGTGGCTTTGAAGGAATTGTGCATGAATAGACACAGACCGCAGGCTGCATTACCCAGGAAGAAGAAAGTAGTTACCCGTAGCAGCATCAAACTTTGCAGATGAGCATGCAACCATACCTAGTGTGCTTACCGCACTTACGAAGATCTGCCACCCGGAGTGGGTCCCTTTAGGGTGGAACCCACAGGCACAGAGACGTGGCCTCGTAGCCACCGCTTAGCCCTCTGGGGCTCACTCAGGCGAACAGAATAAAGCCAAAGAGGCCACGAGAAGAGATTCCAAGTATCAGATGCACAGACACTTTGTGTTTTCCTGTTCTTTGTTGTTCTGCTAACATTATTTATTCATGCTAACAGGTAATTAGATTGTGCCCTTCAGGACCAGCTCAACAGATGTGAAGTGAGAAAATGTGACTGTGTGTATGTGCGTGTGCGTGTGTGTGTGTGTTTGTGTGTGAGAATGTGCCGAAAATAAGTACGGGGGCCCCTAAAAGCTTCACAAATCACACCAAGAATACTTCACATGCTTTCCAAAGCTTTAAAAATTTCAAAGCACGTTCTTGTGTGTTCTTTCATACATTATGCGTTTGGATGAACATTGTGAGTCTGCGGGGTGGGACAAGGGGTCACGTGGGTGTTCTGAGGTCCCAGGTCACAAGCACGAGCTAATGGAGTTGAGCCTTTCCTGAAATGGCCATCAGCCCCAAGGACTCTTTCTTGTTCCGCTTCTCCCAGCAAACCTTTGTAGCCTGGCACCTTCCCCGTGAAGCCATGGGCACCGCGCTCCGAGAAGGGCCGCTGAGGATGGGGCAGCATCTCAGAGGCTGCAAGTCGGACCAGGGCAGTCTGGAGGAGGGGCGACATCAGAAGGGGCGCAAAGAATGTCACATCGAGCAACTGCCCAGAGCGCAGGTGCAGGTGGCCGGGGCCAGCGTCACCTCTTGCAAGAACTGACGTGAACAGCTTGTTGGAAATGTGCCGACTGTATAAAAGGACGCTTCCTGCACACCAGGCCAGCCAGAACCACCTTGCACCCGCTTCCTCACTTCACCCCTTCCACCAACACGCCCCCACACACATGGACACACTCGCAGACACACACACATGCAAACACTGTCAGCCCCGGTGTCCTCCCAAAGACTCACCCAGTGTGGACAGCTGGCTGGCTCTCAGGAGGGAGAGTCAGAATAGAACAGAACAGATGCTAGCCACGGGGAAATGTGGAAGGAGAAACACAGAAGGACATGCCCAGCCAGAGAGGGGGGAGGAAAGTGCTTCCGAAACTGCAGGAGCAATCATGAAGTGGTACCTGGATTGGGGTTATGTGTCAGCTTTCTGCCAGAGATCTCAGAGGGCTTTACCAGCATCATTGGAGAGGGGCTGTCACTTCCATTTTGGCTGGGGGGGGGGGGGGATGCTTTAAGGAGAAGAACTGGATCCATTTGGCCAGGGGCAATGAGTAAGCACGATGGGGAAGGCACCCAGGGTCCTTGCCCTGAGCCTTCTCCATTAGATTAGTTCAAATGCCTGGGAATCCGGCCTGCACACTGCCATCCCAAGCATTCCTGCCCTGGACACCCCATGGGACCCCGGGCTGCAGAAACTTTCCCTTCCATTAAGACTGAATCACATGCCACAGGAAGGGGAGGTCTCTAGTCCAAGGCTTTGTCTGCGGCCCCATCGCTTATCATTTGCAACAATTTTTGTAAACACAAACCAACTTGGGTATCAGATTTGCAGCTGCCAAAGATTTGGGGGCGTGGTTCATTCCTTGGATGACAGAATTATATCACAAAACAAGCTTTTTAAAAGCTGGCACGATGGGTCCCAAAAATAACGATAAAATTTTAAGGGAATTAATGCAAAATTCAGAATGTCAACATCACTGCTACGTGGCATAGGAAACCAATAATAACGATCTCTGTGGAAAGGACCTCAAGTGTTCAGTTGACTCAAATGTTTATGGAAAAACTTCCACGAAAGCTAATGCAACTAAAGACATGTTCATGGACATATATAGTCATGCAGTTAAAGAAAATTATTACTGAAGGTGACATTAAAGGTCATCTGACCCACCTTCATTACCTTAATGGACTGAAGCCTTCAGAGGCTATACAGAAGCGTAAACAGAATGGATATAAGACGGGTTCCATCTTGGGTACCAATGCTAACCAATGGCAATTCACTGTCTGGAAAATTGATTTTGAGAATTCTGAATCCTTCTCTAGGCTCAGCAGAAAGAAGGGCTGTGACGATTGGGTGATTCTACCATGGTCTGGAGAGGGAGCCTAAGAGTCACTGATGCAGACAGTGCTGGGCCCCACCTCTTCAGCCCCATGGAGCCCATCCATTCCAGAGTGTTCTGCATTGGGTCCTATACAGCACCTGCTATCTCTGCCTGGAAATTTCTCCTCATCTGCCCTGGGCCAGGCTGGAGTGCTGTGGAGTGAGTCCCCTCTGATAGACGAGAGCTTCAGGATAAATATCTTCACTTCTGTGCCCAATGCGGGGAATATTCCCAGGGGTTCTCTATAGTGTGTCCCAGAGTTGGCCAGCAGGATCAAGTCTCAGTTGCACATGGCGGTAACCTGGCTTTACCTTTGACCAGCTTCCTTTCTTATCTATCCCACCTCCCCATCCCCTGCAGGTGCTTCCTGAAAGCATGTCCCAGATGAACCATGTGCACTCAAATCCTTATCTCAGGATCTGCTTCTGGGGAGCTGACCTCCCAGACAGCTACATAGTTGCCATCCAGATGGAACAAAGGAAATAACATCCACCCCAACCCCAGTCCAGTGATCCTACAGAGTAGAGTGTGGAAGACCAGATCACTGAGAGACCAGGGCACAACCTAAGGCCTGAGACCGGGATTGTGGAGGGTCTTGTGTTTCCTCCAGTAAGGCAGGGCTCAGACAGAAAGGAGTGAGGAGTTTGGAAAACAGGGAGGGCAGATCTTTAATGACATGGAGGTTGTTTAGCACTGAGGTTATCAACACTGGCTTTGACTTCACAGTTCTTCGTGCACAGGTCAGCTCTGCTCCCTACCAGCTGTGTGATCTTAGATAAGTTTTTAAAATTTGTTTAAACTCCTCTAAACCTTAATATCTTTATATTTTAAACTCGAATATCTCACTACCTTCCTCCAGCCCCTTCTGCCAGCTCTCGCCCGGACTTCCCTTCCAAGGCCCTGGTTTGTTTAAAATCCCCAGGGACTCTTTGTTTTCCTTCCTTATAAGCATATTTCTTGCAAACACTAATCTCAAGAGGCTAATTTGGTGCCATCTGGAAACAGCACTTCCGTCCTCCCCAGCACACCGCTTCGGAGATGTGTTTGCAAGGAGCCCCAGGCAGGAAGCTCGGCAGCCCAGTTCCAGGGGAACATATGGTAGAGGGAAGCCACCCACGGGGCTCTGGGAGAAGGGCTGAAAGACAGCTTCCTTTCTTCACTGATCTAGTTGTGAACAAAAGGTTCATGAACAACTTGGGCGGTGGGCTTGACCAAAACCGGTGTCGGGCGGTTCCCCCTCCCCCAGCGTGAGACCCAGCCCGTCCGGACTGGGCAGCTCAGACTGGCTGTACCATCAACAAGAAGTCACCTCCCTTCCTTATCCAACATGCGATCTGCCCTTCATTGCCCTGGCCCTGCCCCGGCACTGCAACAGGGCCATCGCATCCAGACTCTCTAGAGAGAGTACACACACACAACAAACTGCTGCTTTCTAAAAACATCTAAAATCTGAAAAACAAATAAATAGCTTCAGATCACACGCACAATACTCCCAACAACATCAAAATCAACCAAGGTTATCCACGTAATGTTATGTCGATTCCACTCTCCTTGCATTTCTCATAAAAATATACCATATTTGAAAACCAATTTGCAGGTTAGAATTCCTAAGTTAACAAGTTTCTGAGTAAGCCCAATTCATTTGCTGGATAAAACACAGCTAACCCTAAACGGAAAGGCATTCTTACCAGCCAGTCATTCTTCAAGTCAACAAGCATTGATTGATGGTCTGCCCAGCAGGTGTCGTTTTAGGTGCGAGAGATTCAACCTTGAACAAAAAAAAAAAAGACAAACTCCTTGCCTCCATGAAGAAATTCTTGCAAACATAAAACAGCATTCGGTGTGGGGTGTAATTGCTGAATGGTGTGGGTGAAGTCTATTTTGATTCAGAGTGCCTGAGCCTACAGAAGTCTGGACACACCAGCCCTGAACATTGCCTCAGCCATCTTGTACACGGTTAACTCATAACTAAGGAAATATGGTGAAGTATGAAGACGCAAACCTGCACGTTTTGTCCGACAGATGGCCGCTGGAGGGTCACAGGAAGAAAGAGACATACATGGGCACACCTCAGAGCGGAGGAGAGACCTCATCGGGAGGCAGGGCTGAACTTGAACAAATTCCACGCCTTTTCTACTCACCTCCCATGGTAGTATCTTCACTGAAGATACTTGTTCAGAGTTGGGGAGTAGCTCACGTTATTGCCCTGGTGGTAGAATGCAGCAGAATCCTAATCCTATAAGAAGGGAGTGGGATTTGGGGCGCCCGGGGGGCTCAGTCGGTTAAGCGTCCGACTTCGGCTCAGGTCATGATCTCGCGGTTCGTGAGTTCAAGCCCTGCATCAGGCTCTGTGCTGATGGCTCAGAGCCTGGAGCCTGTTTCCGATTCTGTGTCTCCCTCTCTCTCTGCCCCTCCCCCGTTCATGCTCTGTCTCTCTCTGTCTCAAAAATAAATAAGCGTTAAAAAAAAATTAAAAAAAAAAAGAAGGGAGTGGGATTTTTCCAAAATAAGGATATAATTTGTATTGCTTAGGGTAGAGCGGAGTGGCCCTATTTCTGAGGAAACAGAGCAGATTTCAAGACAGGAGGCACCCCCTCAAAACAATACTTTATCTTCTCTCTCGGACCCCAGGAATAGTTGTATTTAGCATCCAGGATAACTTTTAGCTCTCACCGCCATTCGATTTCCGTAACTCCGTGCTCACAAATGCACAGACTTGCGCAGGCGACATGACAGGGCTTGATGAAGGGCAGTAAAGGGAAATGTGTCCTCCCTCATCACCACCGAGCAGAGTCGATCTCTACTCTGAGTTCTGGCTATGTCTTTACGTCTGAGAACAGGGCAGGCTTTTCCAAATGTTCAGTTCTATCTCAGGTCTTTCAGGAATGCCTTCAGGTTTTCCTGACACAGGTATGAGACACTTCTCGTTAAAATACACCTAAGTATTTCATATGTCTAATTATTGTAGATGAAGTTTTTAATTTCTATCTTCTCATTAGTGTCCTACTCCTATTCTATTCTATTCTATTCTATAATTTCTGTGTATCTGTTTCCATGGATAAAGACTGTTAAATTGTTGGCTAATACCCCCAAACACTATGTGAAATAACAGTGACTTTAGTGCTCCTGGTTTTAGCAGCAATGCCAGTGTTTTCCTCATCAAATAAACATGCCAGTTTGGGGGCTGAGATATTGAAGTACTCGTATACTTTTTATGTTTAAGGAGTCTGACTTCTATTTATTTCAGGGTTTGTTTTTTTTTTAAGTTTGTTTATTTTGAGAGACAGCGCGAGTAGGGGAGGGGCAGAGAGAGAGGGAGAGAGGGAATTCCAAGCAGGCCCCAGGCTGCCAGCACAGGGCCTGATGTGGGGCCCAAACTCATGAAGCTGCAAGATCACGACCTGAGCAGAAACCAAGGGTCGACACTTAACCGACTGAGCCCCCCGGGCACCCCTATTTCAGGGTTTTTAATTATAAATTTTGTGTGTGAATTTTGTCAAACTCCTTTTTCAGCATCTATGGAAAAGGTCATTTGCTTTTTTTCTCCCCTCAGTTCTAATAATATGTAGAATTAAATTAATGGATTTAAAGATATTTAACCATCCTTTCAATCCTGAACTAAGCCCTACCTGGTCATAATGTATTCTTGGAACTATTCCATGGGGTCATATATTTTTCTGGGAACAAACATAGAGAAGGGTTTTACTATGTGAACTTAACCATAACACTAAAATAAGTAAAAAGAAAAAAAAAAGAATTAAATGATAATACACAATATTTTTCTCCTTTTATATAGTAGGCCTTTATAATTTTCCTGAAGATTACTTCTAGCGGCTCTTTAGCAGATAATTTCAGATAATTTCTTGAGCAACCTGGGATATGAATTATTGGGTCTTGCAGATTTGATCATAATAAATCTGAGCAATTTTAAACAATATCCTTTCCTGATCCTGATTCAGTCTATGGAAGGAATACAGTTGCTTGTGGTACTACTTCGGTTACTGATATCCAAGGGGTTCTTTGGAATACTTCTGTATTTTCAGCTCCCCGACAATTTTTTTTTTTCCTTTTTAGTTAAAAAAAGTCTTTCCGTTTAATCTTTTCATGAGTCTAAAGCATAACCTTATGTATTTCTATTTTATTTTATATCTCTTGGAAAATGCATTTTAGTTTTCAATTTTGTTGTTATTTATGTTGGGTCTTTGGCTAGTTTCTCTCTTTCCCCTTCTCTCCTTCCTTTCTTCTAAGCTATTACAGGAGATTATGTTATTTTTTTCCAAATATTTATTTCCCCCTTTGCTGTATTGCCTACTGCTATAAGACTAGTGTGCTTCCCATGAGAAGGGTGTCCATCTCACCCAACTTCGGTTGGACTTGGCCATGTGATGCTCTTGGATCAATGGCATGTAAGCAGAAGTGACATATTCCACGTTCGAACAGAAATTTTAAGAGTTGTTGCCAGTTTCATAACGTATACAGCTACCAAAGTGATACTGCCTCCATGGGAAAGCTTTTTATTTTTCCTAGAGATACTGCTTTAATGCAAAGCACTTTTGAAACTTCTTTTTGGAATTACCTCCAGAGTCCCTTTTGAAAATCTTTAAGAGAGTCAGAGCTTCGTCTTTCTGACAGCACATTTACTCTTTGAGAACAACCTAAAGCCTATCACAGCCAAGGACATTGCAACACCTGTATTCGAATCACAGCTCTGCCCTTTTGTTTCTGTGGCAGTTGACTCAGGGAAATCCTCTGTGAATGGGAACAATAATAGTGCTGAATATTTTTGGTAACTGGCATCCATTCCTACTCCCTTCTGCTCCCTTTACTAGATCACAGGAAAGAACGATATTTCCCAGGATATCTGATATTTCTCTGGTTGTGGGCACACAGGTGTGTGTCAGGCTCTGTGAGCCTCTGCAGGGGCCCCCAGGCCCCCCTCTGCCCTCACCCACCTTTGTGCTGATGGTTGACCATGACATTAGTGGAAATCTCTTGTAGTATCTTAATATGGACTATAGCAGCCATTGCCTGATTCTCTGAACCGTAGTGGTGAACCTGAGAGCTGGTGGTGACCTTCCTTAACTTTTCTTCCGCCGGCCCTTCTAAACCCCAAACTGCTTAGAAACCTTCCCAGGGTTCTGTTCTTCTGATTGAACAACTGATCTGTCATGGGATTGCTGAATATATTAAATGAAATGATGTATTTAATATGCTTAAGATGTTGCCCCCAAATATTCCATAGGTATTACCATTGTTAAGAAGGTGACCGAAGGGGGGCGCCTGGGTGGCTCAGCTGGTTAAGCGTCCAACTCTTGACTTCGGCTCAGGTCATGATCTCGCGGTTCATGGGATTGAGCCCTGCATCAGGCTCCACACTGTCAGCGTGGAGCCCATTTGGGACTCTCTCTCTCTCCCTCTCTCTCTGCCCCTCCCTTTGCTCTTGTGTGCTTTTTCTCTTTCAAATTAAGCATTAAAAAAAAAAAAAACATTAAAAAGAAAGAAGATGACCGAGGGGCTCCTGGCTGGCTCAGTGGGAAGAGCACGTGACTCTTGACCTCGGGGCTGTGAGCACGAGCCCCACGTTGGGTGCAGAGATTACTTAAATAAATACAAAAAGACTTTTAAAAAATAATACAAATTTTAAAAAAGAAGCAGCTGATTAAATCTTTCCCTGTCACTGTCCACATTATTCTAGAAATGCCCTTTGCTCCAGACTCCTCTGTGATGTTCACACGCCAGCTCACAATCTCTTCTGTGTAACTGTATGGTCAATACGATTCTGTGTTGCCATCGACTATCCCACCTGCATTGATCTGCCCTGTCAAACAAACTGTAGGTGCCTATCTTACTTCGTTCAGAAACTGTAGACTGGACAGCTTAAACAATAAATATTTGTTTCTCACAGTGCTGGAGGCTAAAAAAAAAAATAGAGAAAAGACAAGAAAAAGAAGGCGGCGATCAAAATGGGGAAAACACCGTAAGTCCGAAAAAAAGTGGCTATCTGGGTGAAATTGGTATTCACGCATGGTGTAGAAATGGGATCCGAAGACAATTGTCAAAGCGGAATTAAGCTCACTAAAGTAAGACTGTCATCTCCTAGAAATCCTTCTTTTAAAGAATAATAGCCACTTGTTTGGATGAGTTTTTCAATATTGGTTGTTACATAAGCCATTAATTTTTAATCATGCTTTGAAGTATTATGCTCAGGGTCCCTTCTATGCTGGGGAATATACAGGCTGTGAACTAAGGGAAGAAAAGTGTTTCCTGCCACCACCATTGTTACCACTTTTCTTTTTAAAAAAAAATTTTTTGGGGGCGCCTGGGTGGCGCAGTCGGTTAAGCGTCCGACTTCAGCCAGGTCACGATCTCGCGGTCCGTGAGTTCGAGCCCCGCGTCAGGCTCTGGGCTGATGGCTCAGAGCCTGGAGCCTGCTTCCGATTCTGTGTCTCCCTCTCTCTCT